TCAGGCCCCATGACCGGACCCCCAAAAAATAAATTAATTAATTAATTTTACTGAATTCTACACTTTAATTACAAGGGGGACCTGGACCAGGACTGTGGCTCAGGGCTTGCCTAGTATATGTGAGGGAAGCCTTGAGTTCAATCCACAGAACCACAATAAACAATAAAAAGAAATATTGAGAACAGAGGCTAAGTAACTTTTTTTACATAACTGAGATTTACCAATAAATAATAAAAGGTTTATCTAAGCCACAAGTAACTATGAACATTAACTTGAGTATATTGATGCTAAAAACAAAGCAAAGAGCAGTGATGCTAAAGCATGCCCCCATTCCCTGGCCTCTCGCTTTATCCTTAGTTTCCATGCCTCCTATCCATCCCAAAGGAACTGACTACTGTATCAAAACTCTCTTTTCTAAGTAAGAACCTGCCTAGGCAGGCTGTTCTCTGCCTGTACAATAGAAATGCTGTTTAACAGCCCTATTGCAACAGATTTTCTTTTGAATAACAGCTTTTGCTGTTTTGCCCATAGACTCATTTTTCCCTGAGCAGTGGGCACACAGTTCATAAACCATGTTAATGAAAATGAAAGGGCTCTCTTGGGAGAGAATGACAACCTAAAGCATCTGATCCGCTTCAGAAATATTCCTACATGACAGTTACAAGAAAGACCATGAGGATCACTCACTGAAGATTTAGTCCCAAGAGATTACCTCTTCGAAATTTAAAGCAGCCTAAAATAAAGGGAATTTGATTGGATCCAGATTGAACACATACACATAATAAACTTTTTTTTTTTTTTTGTCGGTCGTGGGGCTTGAACTCTGGGCCTGGGCACTGTCCCTCAGCTCTTCAGCTCAAGGCGAGCGCTCTACCACTTGAGCGCCACTTCCGGTTTTCTGGTGGTTTATTGGAGATAGGAGTCTCACAGTCTCTCCTGCCCGGGCTGGCTTTGAACCCGAACCCAGGGCCTCAGGCATGCAAGGCAAGCGCTTACCACTGAGCCACCTTCCCAGCCCCATACACAGAAAAAGTTTTTTAAAAAAAATTTTATGGAGCTTGGTGCTAATGTTCATTTATACTTATAATCCTAGCTACTCAGAATGAGATCTGAGGATCACAGTTCAATGCCATCCCAGGCAAGAAAGTCTAGGAGACTCCTATGTCCAATAAATCACCAAAAAGGTGGAAATGGAGCTGTGGCTCGAGGTAAAGAGCTAGCTTGGAGCAACAAAGCTCAGAGACAGCTCCCAGGACCTAAGTTCAAATTTCAGGCCCAGGACACACTTAACAGCAGAATGACAACATACACTGCTGGTAACAGTGTAAAATGTACAGCTGTGGAAAAGCCTCATGATTGTTTTGTTTTGTTAAATGAAATTAAATACCTACCTACCTACATCTACTAAGTTTTTATTCAAAAGAAATGAAATACATACCCAAAAAGATTTCTAAATGTATTTTTCTAGTAGCATTATTTATAACAGACAAAATCTGGGGAATAGAAGAGAGAGACTACCCAAAAACCTATATTATATTTATTTTTAAAAACCACTCAGCAATTAAAAAGATAGCTGGATGGCACTCTATCACTTGAGGCATACCTCCACGTCCAGCTCTTTGCTGCTAAAATGGAATTATGAGTCTCATGGACTTTTCTGCCTGGACTGGCTTAGAACCACTGAGATCCTCAGATCTCAGCCACAAACCACAGCAATCGTACTGGAAGAACCAGTGGCCCAGCACCAGGCTCAGGTGTAGCTGTAGATGGCTTGGGACTGGAGCTGGGGCTTTTCACCTAAACAATCTGGTTTTGCTTCCTCTCAAGTAATAAAAGAGAGAGATCACCAAAACTCTTTTAAGTTTAACAAATGAAACATATCTCGAAATGAGTAACTTCATGTTTTGAGGATGCAGACTAGAATATGCCATAGGAAAATCAGACTGTAGGAGCCCAGAATTCATCACTCCAAAATAAGCCTCTTTGGCATAAGGATTATTTTGAGCTGATTATTTTGAGAAACAGCAGACACAGGGAAAGTTCTGGAAACTGCTCTGAAGTTACTGATCCCAAAGGGAAATTTACATCTCTAAAGGAAATCTCCCATCTCTTGCTTTCTCCTTCCCCCTTACTTCCCCACCTTTCTTTGTAAGACTGCTCCACAAGGAAGAAGCTCTATGTAACTCAGTAAAGCCGCACCTGTTTTTCATCTTCCTGGCCTACAGAATTTGATATTTGAGGCTACCTTATATACAATATAGTATAGGCTGAATTTCAATGAAGTAAAAATGATTCACACAGCCTCCTATCGAGCATTTAACCAGAGTTCTGACTCCTCTATACTGCAATACAAATAAAACAAAACTGGGAAGTTTAATCATATTGAACAACTTGTTTTACCTGCATTCATTAACCTTTAGACAATACCATGAAGCAGGAGGCTAAAATTCTTTCCTAGAACCCTTCCGGCCCCTCCCTTGGGCTCAGAAGTCCTTAGGTGGCCCCCTGCCCACAGCTTAAGCACAGCACATCATTAACCTACCAATTCAGTACTTCTTTATACCTCAGTTTTCTCATGTGCCAAATGTGTAAAGATTGAATCACACAGGATATACAGGAGCATTTAGCACTGTGCTAGAACCAAAATAAATGGTCATTATGTTGATTAAATCCCTAAGGAAGCCAAATAATCTTTTTATTTTTCTTTTGTGTGAGTATGTGTTTGAAGTTTCTTAAAATAGGGTCTTGCTAGGTAGCCCAGGTTAGTCTCGAATTGTGATCCTCCTATTCAGCCTCTCCACTGCTGTGACTAGAACTGTGTTCCATCACATGAAGCTCATTATCTTCTTAGGAACTGCCACTGTTCATCACAGACTTTTAAACTATGAGTGGAAATAATGACATGCAAAAGAAACACAAGATGTTCTACTATATATCACACCATTGGCCCTGTATCTGAAAGATGCTCTGTAATAACCTCTTAGGACCCAGTACCTTCTCAGACCTGGACCTGGCCTTGGCTCTATCCTTTTTCAGATGAGAACTTGTCTCCTTTTTGCATTACTCATTTTGCCCACTTTAGAATATAAGAGTTGGTAAGAACTTTAGCATTCTGGGTGGGGGGACAAGAAATTATACCAAAAAAAAAAGCCTATCAAAAAAGCTCTTGATAATGTCCCTATTTTTTACGTGCCTTTCTAAGCATGGAAGTCTCTGTACTGAACTTTAAATTAACAGACCAATCACTGATTCCCCCTTTTTCCTTAGTATCCAGACCCTTATCTGCTAGGGCAATTCAGTTAACTACATAAAAAATTATCCCAGGCCTGAAAAAAGAGAAGGGAGAATAAGGTAACTCCTCAGTCCAAAGTCTGGCCAAAAGAAAAAGATTTGACTTGAATCAACTCAATTATCCATTCCTTTGGAACACTGTAAATATCCTACAAGTTTTTCACTGATGGAAGAACTTTTTGCAACCTTTGGCAAAAGATTAGGACAAGATGATTAGCTAACTCGCTTGAAACTAGATTCAATAGATAAGAGTTTTCATGGATTTTGGGGTTTGTTTGTTTTTGTTTTTGTTTGGGTTGGGTTTTTTTTATTGGGGTAGGGGTGCCAGTACTGGGACACTGTACCTGAGCTTTTTCACTCAAGACTACCACTTGAGCCAGTTCCACTTTTGGCTTTTGGGCATGGAGGATCTTAATTCTGCACACACTCCCCTCCCAGCCCAACGACCCTCCCGGAGTGTCACACTTCCTCTTGGGCTAGTTTCAAACCTCTATCTTCAGATCTCAGCCTGCTGAACAGCTAGGATTACAGGTGTGTCACCATTACCTCTGCGATGTAAAGGTTTTCTTTCCTACCCATAATCATTTATCTCCAGTTAAAATATCTCCTCTACTATTATGCGTATAACCACGTATTCAAGGTCTTTTGTTATAAATTTATATTGAGTCATACTTGTAAAACAAATTTATTGCTATTACTTTTGCCTCGACAGAGGCCTGCAGGTTCAGGTGTCCAAGAGGAAGCAGATCCTTCCTTGCTTAAGTCTAAGTACTCATCTTACTAAGAGATCTTATTTTAGTCAGCAGTTGGGGAGGCTCGATTGTCAGTGCTGAAAGAATCATCCTGACCATTTCTAGTAACAGATGGGCAAGCAGCCCTACAACTCATTCGGGAACAATTCCAATTGGGTAATGAAAAAGAAAAGCTAAACGATGTAGTGCACTATTCAGTCCTCACAAACACTGTTCAAAATGCTCTGTTCAATTTCACCTCTAGGCCTTAGTGACTGACAAGCAGTCCCTTAATCCATACCATAAGAACTTTCCAAGCCATAACTGCTTTCCTGTCTGCTCCCCCACCCTCTCCACTCGCGCGCACGCGCGCGTGCACACACACACACACACACACACACACACACACACACACAGAGGCGGTTTCTCTTTCTCTCTCTCACACACACACACCAGAGGCTGTTTCATTTGTGTTTCTCCATACGGTGTCCAATACATACTGTGTCCAGTACCTAGCTGGTGCCACCACGAGGCAATCCCCAGCCTGAGACTGCATGTCAGAAATTAAACCGACGGTGGAACGGTAGGAACGCCGTCCCGCCATACTGTTTCCCTGAAGGTGCCGAGACTGTGAGCAGGTGGGGGGAAAGGCACGCACGGTCCCAGAACCTGGGGGCAGAATGCCGAGGGCCGGTCCGCCTGGCCTGCGGCGTGCTCGGGCCTAGAACGCCTTTCTCCCCGCTCGGAGGCACGGAGGTCCCGGACTCCGCGCTCCCCTCCCGGCCCAACGACCCCTCCCCAAGGCTGCCCCACAAAGGCTCCACTCGGAAGCCCCGGGCGCTCGCCGAAGGGGCACGCCGAGGTGCAATGTGGGAGTCGTAGTTCCCTGAAGTGTTCTGTGGCCGAGCAGCCTGGCAGTCGGGACTCCCACTCCCAGAAGCCCCCGCGCAAGCGCCTCGCCCAGTCCTGCCACCTCACCTGTTCAATGGACGTGACTGTTTCCACCGAGTCGTCCTGCAACCGCTCCCGCGCGTGTTCCGGCCTCAGACTGTACAGCGGTTCTGACCAGACAGGGGAGGAAGATGGAGGGCAATAGTAGGTGAAGGAACTCGGAGAAGCCATGATCAGGAGAGCAGCGGGCGATGTGTAAGACTCAGCTTCGTCCAGCAACAACGCGCATTGAAACTCGAGCGGGCTAAGGCGCTACGGAGTGTGGGTAGAGTCAAGATTTTGAACGCGAATCTCTCCTCCCACCTACACATCTTCAGGGAGTGAGTGACTAGGATGCTGCCGCCCCCCTTTGGACAGATGAGTTGCTGCAGGAGCTCAGCTTCCCCTGGCGAGCTAGAAAAGGGTCCGAGCCTCTGAATTCACTTTCGAAGAGACGAGGCAGAGAATGCCTGCGTTTGCTATGCAAATCTTAAAAAAAAAAAAAAAATAAGAACAGGAGATAACCTTGAGTTTGGGATATAAATTTAAAAGCAGAATAAATTTAAAAGCAATTCTGACGGCTCTCCTGGCTGCCACAGTGTTGCTATTACTAAGAACTATTGTGCACACCGTTGGGTCTTTGACAGCCTCTCTGAAGAAGCCAGAAGCTCCTCAACAAATGAGCAAAATTACTCTCGGTTCGCAGTGATGGCGGGAAGGGGTATTGTGATTTTTCTCCCTCGGTGGATTACAGTGCAATAGCAGGAATTAAAATGTGAGAGAAAACCTGAGTTAGATGTAAGACACCCCTCCCCCAAGACGTAGTCAGCAAATATTTATGGAACACATACTGCCTGTTGGGCCTTGTGTTAAACCCCAGGAATGCAAAAGTTTCCCTTGGAAACCTTATATTTTAAAGGAATACATAGATTGAAATGAATGACCAGAATATGAAAATTTAGAATAATGATATACTTAGGTCTGTGAAAGAGACTAAAGGGTTAAGAGTCTAACTAGATTAGTAGTCAGGCCAAGTTTCTCTTAAGTACGTATTAAGCTGAGACCTGCAGGATGCTAAGGAGCAATCCAAGAGAACTAAATGAGGACTCCAGAAGAGGGAACAAAGTTTCAGAGAACATGCTACAAGTATACCTGTGTATGCTTTTATTATCTAGAAGTATTCACAACCAAAGAAATTCTCATGAAGTAGGTATAATCATATACTCCCTATATTTTGATCGTAGGAAAACCTTGTTGCCTTTGAACAATAATGTAAAATAATATTTTTCAGGGCTAACATCAAAAAGACTACACCAAAATTATAATACCAAGAGCCTAAGTAGGGGGTTGAAGGAAAAGACAATAGGTGTAACTCAGTGGTTAGAGCTTAGCGCATGCGCACATGAAAGAGAAGGGGGGTGTGGAGAGAACATTTTGCCATCCCCATTCAATTCCAAGTCATATTTCTAGGATCCAAGAAATATAGGCCAATGTGATATTTCACACCTGATTATGTCCTCAGTCTCTCAGAAACAGTCATTGCAGAGATGAGGCTGGGTGGCATAAAGGCCTTATGTGGGTGAATATATCATGATATTGTTGCTGAGTTAAGACCCTGATGCTAGAATGTTACCAAATCTGAAAATGAGTGGGACTGCAGTTGAGATTGTGGATGTGGCTGTACAAAATAATATTACTTTATTATACTTTCCTCTGTATTTGGCATCTTACTGTCTTTCCTTTAGTTCTGTGTGTGTGTGTGTGTGTGTGTGTGTGTGTGTGTGTGTGTGTTGTTTGTTTTTTTCTTGCGGGGGTAGGGAGTGGGGGAGTTTAATCAGGTCTAGGTCATAAAGGATTCAGCCTTCTGTGTTAAAATGTTGCTTTGCTTAAGAGCCAGAAACAAGATTTCAATCCTAAAGATGGAGTTACTGAAAGAGTAACTGGAATGGTTTTGTAACAAATACTTTGTATTTCTCACAGATACACCTAAAGCAATTACAAATCATATTCTAGAAATTGAAATCCATTTCTGAAATGCAATCTCCTGTGCAGTGGGATCCAAGAGCTGTTAATAGGAGCCTGGCAAGCATCTTCTGAGGATAGGCTGTTCATTCAGCAGATGTTTATTGAGATCAGTTATATGCTGGGTACTGAAATAAATGCTAAGGAGGCAGTGGTGAACAAGCCAGACAGTCTCTGCCCTAATGGGTCTCTCATGATTTACCAAAAGAAATTAAACAATAATACAAAATTGACTATTTCATTACAGCCGGAGAAAATGGCATGAGACAGGAAGAAGCACAGAGTGTTGCAAGATTGCATAATAAGAGACCTAAAAAACAGTTTGGCAGATCTAGAGTGAGGAAATAAGCTAGATAATCTAGGGGGAGTGAACAGACTAAGCAATGGAAAATCCACTGACAACCAAAACTCAACTGTGACCAATAATGAAAAACACGAGAAGTTTTTACTGTGTGTAAGCATCAAGGAGATCCTTAGGCCTTGGATAATTAATACTCTACCAGTTGTCCTTCTTCTAGTTAATAAAAAATACTCATTCAAGATGCAAAATGAACATCAATCTTGTCAACTCTGCCAAGAATGATGTAGAGGGAAACACCTTAATAATGATCATGAATAGCAACTCCAGATTGGACTGAACATTCTTTGGGTTTATTTTTTCAAATGAATTATATGTTTTTCTACATTGAACTGTGGGTTTTATTTCTTTTTTAAAAACACGATGCAAAATGTGGACAGTGCATCTTCGTACTAAAACAAAAAGAAAAAAATGTTTCAAATAAACCACTAGAGGTCGCTCCTGACCTTTACAGTAGGCGCAAAGTAAACGGGAACAGCTGTCACCTTATTACTCACCCGAGCCTTATGTCAGGATGAATTGTTTCCTTTAATATCTCTGGAGACTATGTGATAATACACATCGGAACATTGGGAAAATGAAAAGAGCTTATTATCCCTCTAGGTAATTAATTTTCTCCCCCACGCTTACTCCCCTGTCATATCCCTGTCTCTGGTTTACCCTACTTAGGCCCAACCCCTCCCCTTTCCTCATGCCCAGCTCTGTGACATAACTACACAATGTTCTCTTGCTCCTAAAACATCATTTTTCCCTGTACTTAATCAAAATCGCCCTCCCCCCAACATACTATTTCTCCACTTCTGTGAGGAAGCCAGGTATTTTTAGCCCTCTTCATCCCTCTTACACTTTTCCATTACTCATTTGCTTTTAGAGCAAAGTCCTTGAGAGGAGTTTCCCCTACTAATACTGTCTCTAATTCCCCTTCTCCAACTCTCTCTTGAATTCATTTTAATCTGGTTTCTGATTTAGGTCTTCCTAATCAAGTCTCAAATAGACTCCAAATGGCTGAATCCAAAGGAGGATTCTCAGTTATGTTATGTCGAGTCTTCCTGTTGGACTTGCCAGCAATATTACATGAATCCTCTGAGTGTTGTCTCTGTTTCCCACACTCTCAGATAAACTTAATATAGGTGCAATGCTTCTTTTTTTTGGGGGGGTGGTCCAGTCGTGGGGCCTGAACTCTGGGTCTGGGCGCTGTCCCTCAGCTCTTCAGCTCAAGGCTAGCGCTCTACCACTTGAGCCACAGCGCCACTTCTGACCTTTTTTTCTTTTTTCTTATGTGGTGCTGAGGAATCGAACCCAGGGCCTCAGGCATGCAAGGCAAGCGCTCTACCACTGAGCCACCTTCCCAGCCCCAGGTACAATGCTTCCATGATACTATCCCCCTAAAAAATTGATGTTGAAACCCAGTCCTTGATATAAAATGTTTGGAGGTAGACCTTTTGGGAGGTGATTTGGTTATGAAAGTAGTGCTTTCATGAATGAGACTAGTGTTTTGTTTTGTTTTTTTTGGTCGGTTGTGGGGCCTGAAGTCTGGGCCTGGACGCTGTGCCTCAGCTTTTCAGCTCAAAGCTAGAGCTATACCACTTGAGCCACAGCATCACTTCTGGCTTTTTCTGCTTATGTGGTGCTGAAGAATCAAACCCAGGGCCTCATGCATACAAGGCAAACACCCTACCACTGAGCCACCTTCCCAGCCCTGAGACTAGTGCTCTTATGAAAGAATCCTCAGAAACTCCTAGTCCCTCTTCTTTCACAGGAAGACACAAACCAGGAAGCAGACCTATACCAGTCAGCTCTCTCTCTCTCTCTCTCTCTCTCTCTCCTCTCCCCTCTCCCTCTCTCTCTCTCTCTCTCTCTCATTCTGGGGCTTGAACTCAGGGCCTCATACTCTCATTTGACTTCTTTGCTCAAGGCTGGCTCTCTCTATCACTTGAGCCACAGCTCCACTTCTGCTTTTTTGCCAGCTAAGTGGAAGTAAGAATCTCATAAGAGACTGCCTGGGCTGGCTTTGAACAACAATCCCCAGATATCAGCCTCCTAAAGAGCTAGGTGTCAGCCACTGGCACCCAGCTTCAGACTGAATTTTTAAAATATAAGTGAAATTACCTTTCACTTCTCATCGTACCCAGAGCCAAAGTCAAGGTGGCCTACAAAGCCCCACCCAACTACTTTACCCGTCTCTTCGCTTTGTGCTTTCCTGCTTGCTTACTTTGTTCCGCCTCCCAACCAACCAACCAACACACACACACTCACACACACACACAGACACACACACACATCTTCTTGTTGGTCTGTGTTCATCTCAGCATGCTCCAGCGGCAGAGTATATATACTTGCCGTTTCTCTCCCCTATCTGTCTCTAGCCCAGAGAGGGGTAACAATGTTTGACAAGAAATACACTCCTTCATTACCTTACTTATGTAATTGTAATCCCTCTGACATCACCTACAATAAAATAAATGAAGTGATTACCCACCAGCAACACTATGTCCCAATTTCCTAGTTTATTTTCCTCCATCACACTTCCTATCAGATCACAGATTTTATATTGTGTGCATTTGTTATTTGCCATCTCCAATCTCACTAGAATGCACATTATACAGAGCAGAGATTTTTGTGCATTTTGCTCATTGCTGCACTCCCTGGCACAAAACACTGGATAAGTTAAGTGACTTGAATGATTTCCAGCCATTGTAACATGTTGCAGGAGATAATGACAGTGAACATGTCATTAGCCTTAGCCTCCAGGAGCTCATTATCAAATAAATGCAGAAACAACTATATAGCTCTTAGTGTTGTATAGTTTATCATAAAATAAATACATGAAGGTGAGACCAAACACACATACAAAATGAAGTGGGAAAATAGGTACATGAAGAATTAATACTATTTAGTGAAGATAGCTATTTGGTATATAAATACCATTTGTGTTTAGCAGTATTTTCAATATAGTAAATATTATATAGTACAAGTTTCCTGCTTCTTTCCTTCCTTCCTTCCTTCCTTCCTTCCT